TAATTATAACATCATTCGAGGGCCATACAAAATTATCAACTTAAGTATTAGCCTGCTATATTTGGTCAAACATTTAACTAATTCATCCCTAATGCCTTGGCAGGGCCAGACTAGATGATTTCAAGGGCCTTATGTGGCCCGCGGGCTAGAGGTTCCCCACCCCTGCTTTGTAAAGGTTCTCTTCCACCTTTCGCCTTAATGGTATGAGCAACCATTGACATTTACCCAAATACATTATTTCATTAGGGATTGCAAAGGGGTGATTTTACTATTATATCTTTCCTTCTGCGTTTATTAGTTTCTATGAAGAACTTTCCGTTATAACTCTTTGGTGAATCTTAAATATAGATTTTCAGGAAAAGCAGGATAAATGTTTGGTTCTTTTATTTATCAAGGTTAAGATTAACTTATTAATTTTATTAAATTTCTGGGGGAGATGGGGAAATTTTATTAAGAATTTATGGATTTTTATATATTTGAAGTGTTTCAATCAATTGCAGTTATTATTTGATGAGTAGAAACCCCTTGCAAGTTGGCTCCTGAGTAGTACTTTATAATTTGCAAGATTTAAATCTCACAGACAGCTCTGTGAAGGTAGGTATTATTACCCAGTTTTACAAATAAATCTAGGACATATGGCTTGAACCAGACTTGGCGTCCTTTGTACTTCTATTAAATATAATAATGGTTGAAAGAATCAGAATGTTAAAGGAAGCTGGATTCTTTCTCTCTTTTTTTTTTTTCTGATTTCGAGATTAAACAGCGGATGTCTTTAACCAGCGGGACTATGATATTAAGCAATATACACTTTAGAAGGCATTACTTGTAGCAAACACTGTTGAGAATAATGTTATGCTGATCATACTATAAAATAGCCTGTCTCAACTTTGTTTGTGAAGCATTTCAATTTTGATTACTCTGTGTGGGATCTACTGCTCAGATGTGTGTCATTTTATGGTCTGCCCATGTCTGGGGAGCTGGCATTACACGCTGCCTAGTGTTTTTAATTCAGAACTTCTCCTAAAAGAAACCTTAGCCTCTTATGCTCAAGCCCTAGTTTTAATAGCATAAGCTATTTCTTTCTTATATAGCTTTGTGGGCATAGTAATAAAATAAATACCACAAAATCACTGATGAGATGAAAATTGAGCTCCCTGCTTCTGTGCAGCCATGTAGGTAAAACAGTAATTGGCTCTGATAATAACTTTTGTTCTTACAAACCAAAGTCTAAATGAGAGTCACATTTGATATATCTGCTTGTAATTACTATCAAAGGGGAGAATAAAGTATGGATTATTTAGTGACTCAAGATAGATTAAGTAAATTGGTGTCTTTTCTTGTCCAATTTAAGAAAAATTTCTGAAATTATTTCTGATACTTATTTTACTGTTGGTAAAAAACGATCACCTTCAGAACATGCTTTCCTGCTTAATGGATTGATTAATTTTGTGTTTGAATCTATAATTGTTTTTCTAGGAAAATCTGGGTCTGATAAGGCAGCTTATGCTGATAAGTATTTTGCTACACATCTCTGTAGATGTAACTTGTAAAATTGTAAGACAAATTCAGATTATGAATGTATGTGGTAGTGATCTTCAGTGAAACCATTTGATATGTTAATTTTATTTAAATGTAGGCTCATTTGTACATTTTTGAAGGAAAATTAAATCATGTGTGCTGCATATTATTTTGGTATACACATGCTTTGGTGCCAAAATAGTGAATATTAGAATGTTAATAATTTAAAAGACATTTCCCATGGCTTTAGAAGCCAACTAATAAAGAATTGATATTGCAACCTATCATTTCTCTTGAGTTTCTGCTTATATTTTGATTTCTTACCAGAACTATCTGTGCCAGGGCCACAGAAATGTAAAATTGGGCAGAAAACAATTGATTTTAATGCCAGTTTTAACAATAATTTGGTATTTGATCATTTCTTTCTTACACCAGTCCCATAGCCACAGAAAGTTGAAGGACCATAATAAAACTAAGAAAATTCAATGGCCCACTAGCCAATGATCCCAGGATTAAAAAGTTCTAGCAAAGCGAAGACATGACAGATGAAGCCATTCCCATCAATTATATCCAGAATACACATTTTAAAAACACCCTAATTACAGAAACCACATCCAGACAATCTAACACATATTGGTAATGTCCTGATTCTTTGTAGAATGAAAATTATTCTGAAAGTTTAATTAAGAAGAAACAAATTATGTTCAGGTATTAATTTCAACGAAAGAGACACTCTGCTTCCATGCAAACACCCGGAATAGTGCTGTGAGTGTGGGTTAGCCACAGAAGGAAACCCCCTGATAGCTGTTAGGCACAAGGTTATTTTTGGGACCGTATGTACTTCAAGGAGAAGGGAACAGATAGGTCTTGTTTGCAACCTGCATCCCTGCACGGGTTAAATAAAGTGGGCAGTTAAGTACAATTATTTGGTTTAAAAACTGCTATTAGAAAAATAAAAGGAAGGTTTGGCACCTGTATTAAGAAGTAACTAGACAGCATACATTCTGTAGATCAGGGGTGCTCAAACTATGGCCCGCGGGCCACATGCAAATACAAATATTGTATTTGTTCCCATTTTGTTTTTTTTACTTCAAAATAAGATATGTGCAGTGTGCATAGGAATTTGTTCATAGTTTTTTTTTAAACTATAGTCCGGCCCTCCAACGGTCTGAGGGACAGTGAACTGGGCCCCTGTTTAAAAAGTTTGAGGACCCCTGCTGTAGATATTTTTGCAGTCTTCCCCTTCACTTCCACCGTAGGCATAGCCCATTGAACTAATCTGGTTCCTACAACCATTTTAGCAATTGCATCAGATCCCTCAGAACAAAGACACTCAGTTGAAAGGAAATCAGGTGTTTTAATCCCTTACAATGCCTCCTTTTAAACTGTTACAGACCACATATTTACAATTCATATGAAATGTGCAGAATGGGACACGTCGAAGAGGCAGAAAATAGATTGGTAGTTGCCAGGGAGGGGCTGGGATGGGGAGGAGATGGGGAGTGATTGATAATGGGTTTGAGGTTTCTTTTTTCGCTGATGAAAATGTTACAGAATTAAAGAGGGGTTTGATGGCCATGGCTGGCTGGCGCAGTTGTTTGGAGGGTCGTCCTGTACATCAAAAGGTGGCAAGTTTGATTCCCGGTCAGGGCACATAACCCAGGTTGCAGGCTCGATTCCCAGTTGGAGTGCATATAGGAGGCAATTGCTTGTTGTTTCTTTCTTTCTCTCTTCCCCTTCCTCACTCTCTAAAATCAACAAGCATATTCTTAAGTGAGGATTAAAAATAATCTCTCTATATAAAAAGCTAATATGCTAAGTATCTGTCCGACCAGTAGCTCTGATGAACACTGAACACCAGGGAGCAGACGCTCAATGCAGGAGCTGCCCAGCGGCAGTGACTTGGCAGCAGTGGTTCTCAGGTGACACACCCCAAAACCAGAGGAGGGAGCCTGATTCCTCACAGGGCCGTGCGATCCCACCTTTGGCTGTGTGTTATGTTGTTGCTGGGGCACTATCGGCCCTGAATCTGGTTTACTGCACACTTACATTTATGTCCCACACCCTGTGCGACAGCAACTTTGCAGAGTGCCCTCTCGCACTCTGTGACCCCTCGGGGATATTGGAGAGCCGGTTTCAGGCCAATCCCCACAGGCCAGGCCGAGGGACCCCACCTGCCAGAGGAATCCCACTCACTCCACAGGTGCCCTTGAAGCCACAGCGACACCCCAGGTGCGGCTGGCCAGGGAGAGATCGCAGGAGGTTGTCTCCAGGGCGTGTCCAGCCCATCTCTCCCAGTGCCGTCCCGCTGGCCACCTTCTAATTAATTTCCTTTCAGTGTGCACGAATCCATGCACCGGGTCGCTAGTAATAATAATAATAAAGAGGAGTGATAGATAATGGTTATACAACTTTGTGAATATGCTAAAAACCACTGAATCACACACTTTTAAAGGAGCTTTTATAGTATATGAATTGTACCCCAATAAAAAACGTCACAAGACTTCAGAAACTGTTGGTAATAACATATTTCTTAAGTGTCAGCTTACCTTTTAGCATCAAGTCATAGAATGCCAAATCAAGAGAGAGTTGTGTGTGTGTGTGTGTGGGGGGGGGTTCCGTGGGGGGAATTGAGGAGGGTGAATAGTTCTTCAAGAGACCATCAAGTCTGTCACATTTTGAAAAAAAAGAAACCAGCTTCCAAAGGGGGAAGTGACTTACCCAAGGTCATGCAGGCAGTCCAGGGGAGGGTAAGACTGGAACCCCAGTCTCGGGACCCTTCTCGTGCCCCTTCCCACCACCACTGCGCTGCCTACACTGCTGCTACTATTTAAGCCTCGCTGGCGTAACTCATTTGACTTATATGAAATGAGGAACATGTGCTTCAAATGATATGCTTTTTTTTTCTCTAATGAAAGCATGCCTTTCCCTATAAATAGCAATATCTCTGTGAAGGAGTAAATAAATTTGTTGTGGTAAATGTACCAAATCCAAACTGAGATTTACCTGTAACTGTCTGTCCCTTGAGGAAAGTGCCGCATTAACAGACCAAGGGAGCCCTCTACCTGTGTGTTTGTAGTATAGATTTCATTGGCAAAATCCTTGACCTGGAAAAAGCTAAAAACAAATCGAGACCAGGTATTCTAGTCCTTTGTCCCACCTTGGGTGGCGTCTACCATTCTTTGTGAAAAAATGAATGCTGTCTGAGGATGTATTTGTATGAGCAATAGGATACATGGAGGGAAATCTGCAGAAGGTTCCTTTTCTGTGAATAAATAAGAACAATTAACAGCAGAAATAAAAGAACCAAATATGTCTTTTCTTCCCAGTGAAAACTACATTAAAATAATTCTTTTCAAAGAACTTTATGCTCCTTTGAGGATGTAAGATATTAGTAAGTATTTTTGTTTATCCAGCATGAAAGTTTCATTGTTTCTTTGTTTCAGCGAAAGATAGGGTTGGATGTAAAAATCATGCAGGATCCTGAAAACCTCCGCCACAGAGCTGCTGTCAGTGCGAACTATGGAATCAGTTTGCCAAGTATTAATCAGAGAAAAGCCTGTGTAAGTAATCAGTTGTTTTAATGAGCTCTTCGTCTTTTTAAGAATTAAAAGGCATACATTAGTAGTGTAAGATATAATGTAGATTCTAAGTAAAGATTTTGACCCCTTTGTTCTTAGCATTTAATGGAGCGGCTTTCCTTCTGTTTATAATTAGAAATGATTAAAACATGTGAACCTGTTTTTAAAAGATTCATTGGCTGCTCATTCAAATTTCTCTATTTCGTTTGATGTACCTAAATAATCTAGTACCATCATCTTTAACAAGGATGAGCGAATTTAACAACACAGAGAATTAGTAGAGAGATTTTAAATATTTTATTTCTTTGATAATAGGTTTAGTTCAAAAGGAAACAACAGCGTGGTAGCAGCATCAGTGGTGTATACTGATGCAACACACACCATTTGAGAAAATCATTCTAAATCTGAAGCCAGCAGGTCGGCAAAATGACGAGAGGGGAGAGCAACACATGGAGGTTGCATCAGGGCTCTCAGAGTCTGTGCCTGCGTTTGCATTGGTTTTCTGGTGAGCGTCCCTAAGCAAGGATTGGACTTTCTCTGTGTTGTGAGGTTTTCATAGGAGAATGAAGAGTAATGCTTCGTTTAATTGGGAAATTCTTTTATTTGAGATTATTTCTGATACTAAAAACAATTACAGAGGTGACATCTATACACTATTAAATACAGTTTTAACCTTTGGCTTCTCTCAAAAGCTCTTAAATGTATTTGGTCAAATCAAAACTAAACACTGGTTAATTTTAGAATTTGCCATTTTAGAATCACAAAACCACTTCTAACCATTATAATAGCGTCTTAGATGAATCTTCCAAGCCTCCTGCATAGCCATTTTCAGCTGCCTGCTTCGTTCATGTAACCGTGTGATACATGTTTTAGTTGCTTTCTATGTGCTTTATGTTTTTCTAACAGGTTTGGTTTAAGAGCACTTGATCATAGAAATACTTGTATAGCCTCAGAAATAACCAGAAAGTTCGGTATTTTTATTCTGCTGAAACTTTATTTAAAATGTCATTGTGAATAATGTGAAAGAGTTTTTATCTGCTCCCATGAGCCCAAAGCCCTTGAAATAAAAATATTTCTCTGGCTGTGGAGACAGAAGCAGATTTCTCCTTTGTTGTTGTTGGTTTTTCCCCCTTCCATCTAAAATTAATATTGGCTTAGCTGGTGGAGCGCTGAGGCTTTGTCGCCCAAGGCAACTGCGGCATCGCATGCAAACTTTTCCTGATGAGTATTGAGGTTTACAAAGGCATCATTCCAGATTTAGAGAGGATTATGCTTTGCTTTAATGCATCTTAGTGAAGACCTAAATAGGAATTCAAAATTATATCAAAATTTGGGGTAGAATCTTAGTCATTTATTATGTATTTTTTCCAATTCCAAAATAGGTTAAGAGCCGTGGCTATTGTGCTCATGTATGTTGAACGTAGAGGACATGGGGAAGCTCTTTGCCTTGTCTGACATACAGATAATGCATGCTCCTTTAATGTATTAAAAAAATCCCCCTTCTTCATAAAACTGGAGTTTGTAAAACTTACACCAGAGCGCTTTAAAATGTATATACATTAGGTACATTTTACTCAGATTGACTACTGGCATTTCAATCAAAACAGTTGACCCTATCTTTTTATGTTGATATATGTATATATGATGGTACTAACTAAAGTAGTATTTTCACTTTGGATTTATAAAACAGAGCATTGTGCAAAAGGCCCCGTGAAAGAAATATTCGGGTGTTTGGTTTTAAACGACCATGTGGAGCACTTGGGAACAAATGCAGTTGTGAGGTACCACTCAGAAAACTGGTTTTGAAAGCACTTACCCAAACTGAAGCCATGCGTCTAGCGTTGTGCTGTGTCGTCAATTAGAAAAGCAGCATCAAGGCTAATCGCTTTCTAGAACTACTCGAGACACTCAAAAGGGTTATTATTTGGTGGCCGAGGGCCGCATGTTTCCTTACTTTTGAAACTTAAACAGCTTGTCAAAAGCCTGTACATGATCTCAGGCATTTTTTGACGGAGCAAACTTGAATATGTTGCTAATTTACATGATCAGTTCTTAGAAACTGGTATTTTCTCCACTTTGTGAAGAGGTATATCCTTCCTGATAATAAGAGGCTGGTATAAAGATTTTAATGCATTGAAAACACATATACCCCAGACACACACATACAACCTCCCTTCCCCCACAAAACTGCCTTCAGCATTTTATATCCTATGAGCTCTATTAGTACAATTTACAACAAAATATTAAAAGTGAAACTTACTGATGATTTTTCCAATACCTTAAATGTGTGTAATAATAATAATGATGGTAGCAAACCCTCTGGCAGGTTTGTGAGAAGGGCCTTGTATACATGGGGAGACCAGAAGGAACCTCTGAAACTGTTTGTACTGACTGACATTTAGATCCAGCCAGACAGTCCAGTGCAACCCATTAAAAGATCTACAGAAAATTTGACTTAGATTTACTTTTTAAAATAAAAAGCGTTTCTTAAAAGATTTGAAACATGGATCTGTTAACATGAATTTTAAAAGAACGATTATGAATGCATAACAAAATAGCCAAACAAAACATTGCTTTGAATTGCTGCGCAAATAACTCTGATTATAACTGTTATGACCTAGAAAAGAATCGTAAAAACATTTTTCTTTTTGGCAAGATGTGAGTTGCTGTAGAATTATACTAGTTCTTTGGTCCCACTTTCCAAATAAATAAATATATAATGCAATGTAAACTTAGAATCTTTTATTTATTCATGAGGTTGAATTTAATACTATTATGATTTCTAGATTTTATGAGTCATATGTTATGCAGTGTTTTTCACTAACTTAGTTGGGTAGCAACCACACTTCACAAATCATAGTTTCATTCTTTACTGTTTCACGTGGGGTGTACATTGTAATCTCTCTCGCTGAAAGCACATTCATTTCTGAAATGATAAAGTAATGGAAAGTGAGGCAATTGTGTTAATGCCAAATGATTAGAAGAAGCATCAGAAGTAAGGGGCGGGGGCAAGGAGGCGGGGGGTGGGAAAGAAGGGCTATTTCAAAACATGATTGTGTTTTAAGCCCACGCATATGGCCACAATTACAGTCACAACATAATTTGGCAAGGATAGCAGAATTAGATTTAAACAAATTGATGTTACACTGCAGTAATTCAGAATGAGCTTGTTGCATTTATAAACCATAACAAGAAGCAGAGTGAATTAATAAACCCTACTTGTCACTAAGAATAAAAAAGGGAATAATTGCTGAGATGGAGTTAACTTAACAGATGACTATAGTCAGCATCCTTTCAGCCCAGATATGGGAAAGTGAAGGTCACCCCCATCTCAGATGACATAGAGGGAACATTTTGTTGGTAAACAAATTAATCTTTTGAAAGGTCGCCATTTGTTTTAAGTTTTTATCCAGTTCTTGTCACCTGGAATCAGAGATGGACTGTCATTTCACTAGGCAGGGGTGCGGTGGAAGCAGACAAAGACGCTTCTGTACCTATCAGCGCTCCTTGACAAAACTCGCCGCCTGATTGGGATGCTATGGGCTGCTGGTTTACAGCTGTCTCCGGACAAGAACGGAGGCCCACCCCTGAATTCCAATAAGATGGGCCTGCATATTCCGCCTGCTGTAAGCTGGCCCTCTGCCCACAAGTAAAATGTATTGCAGTTCAAGCCAGCAATTATCTCTTTCACTTCCTTCTGTGCTGCTTCTGTTCCCTTTTTCCAAAAACAGATGTGGGTATTCGCTCAAGTTCGGCTTCTATTCTTTCTCACACCTGCCGGGGCAGAATTTTGACAGAGGCAGGGTTTAAGGGAGCCAGCAGACAACGATCAGATGTAATCTCGTTGAGAGCAGTTTAAAAAGAAAATGTTGATTTTTCAGGAAATGTGGCGTCAGCATTTTGGTCCCCCTCCCTTTTCCCAGGAGCATTTGGTAAATTAAATTAGTTGAACAAAAGGAAATAGCTTTAAAGACATTCAAAAATGCCATATCCTATTTATGACACAGTCATTCCTCGGACTGCGATGGCCACTTCTATCACTGGAAGAGAGCTCTCCTCTGGCTTGTTTAGAGAGATTCTTGAAGAAACAATGACTTCTGCTCTTGGCCCGCAGCCTCTGAAATGCACTCCACACCTGCGGTAGTAGTGGCGCTGGCGGCAGTGGTGGTGTATTGCCTTTGCAAGTTGCTGCATTTTAGAATTTTAGTTCTGCAGTGGTTTGGAGTTCTGGGAAAGCTGAAGACAGTGATATGACAGTTGTCATTGACTGGTGTCCGGCTTTCTCACCCAAGCCCATTGCTCTGGGAGTGAAGAGAGGCAATTAGAGGCTATACCCTCATCAGATAATGTTCACAGGAAATCTGGTTGTAGTGACTTCTCTGACTTCTCAAGAATGCTGTGTATCTTGAATTTCTGTGCTAAGATCCTGCATTCACACCCAAGCCAACCCTATGCTGAACGGCAAATATGTGTAGCTCTGGGAATAGGGATTCTGGGTCAGAATGCCTGGTGTGAATTCTTACTGGCCTGGGGCCTCCCAAAAACAGCCTCCCCTTCCTCATGTGTAAAATGTTCATAATCAGGCTATCTCATAGGATTGCACTGAGATTTAAATGAGATGATTCAAAGGCTCTGGCACCAGTAAGTGCCATAAATATTAGTTATGACTCTTGGCAGTTTTCACATGTCATACTGTGCCATGTTTTAGACAGTCATCTAAAACTTACATTATTGTAGGGGTTGGGAGAGAGAAGGAGTATATACTGAGGTGCCTTCCAGCCTAGAAGTGAAGTGACGATTTTCTGGCCCCCCGTAGCCATGGTTGCACAGAGCATCCTTCCACTGGGCCATCTGAGGGAGCTTACCTACTGAAACCCCGTGTTCCTGAATTCCGGGACAGCCTTGCCACTAACTAGCTGTTTCTAGAACAAGTTACCTACCTTGTTCATTCTTCTTATCCTCATTTGTAAAATGGGTAGGCCAGACAGGAGGCAGTCTGGTGTGGTGGGAAGGAT